CGTGCATCTCGATTACAGTGATGGTGCGCCATCCGTGGCAACGACGCGCAGCAACGACGTGTTGGCGAGGGCATCGAGGGCCCTAGCAAACTTGATATTGCTTGCGTCGATCGCGGAGCGGAAGTTGGCGACGTCGATGGGCGCGTCTGATGGAAAGACGGCGAGCATGGCGTAAATAGTCAGCGCCACCTTGCGGACATGCTTGGGGATGGCACCGCCGAGGGTCCAAGTGATGATGTCAAAGATGTGGGCGTACTTGGCGTCCGATCCGCCGCAACCATCGCGGTGCTCATCCATGGCAAGCTCAGTTGCATCTGCAGCGTCCTCAACAGCGGCGTCAAGTGCAGCCTCGCCAGATATGGACGAGCCAAGGACGGCAAGGGCGAGGGCATGGCCGCGGCAAAAGGTCGCGAGGGAGACGATGCGGGAATCGTTGAGTGCAAGGGTATTTGCCCACTCAGGTGAGCCCTTGGCGAGGTAGTTGCGAAGGACAACAGCAGCGTCGTCCGTGTCAAACGTACCGAGCTCAATGGAAGTGGCGATGTTGGTAGCAAAGGCGGCGTTGCGCGAGGTGACGAGGACGGCATGCGGGGCTGCGATGTGGTTGGCGAATACGGAGGCCTGGCGGGTGTCCCACGCGTCGTCGAGGATGAGCAGAATGCGAGTCCTGGCATTGGCGAGGGCCCGGGTCTTGGCAGCAAGAATGGGTTGGAGGTCATTGAGGTTGGCCTGAGTATCGACTGTGCAGCTCAGACCCTGCTTGAGAAAGTAAGACATGCGGCTGGCAAGAGCTGGGTTGGACGTATTGGTCCTCACCAAGCGAGAGCCCAGAAGACGGAGAAGACCGAGGTGATGGCGGGATGGATGGCGACATCGGCTGCGAGTGAACGACTTGCCGACGCCGCCGAGCCCGTTGACACCGACGACTGAGACGTTGTTCGCAACCAAGAAGGACATTAATGACCGCATCACGAGTAACAGGGAGCGGGTGGTACTCGGGTGGATTGAGTGGCGGTGGCATGGGTGAGGGGCGGAGGGGTGAACTGGGAACAATGGCCTGGAATGCGGATAAAACAAGATCGTCGACCATCTAAAAACACGCTAACGCGAGCCGGCGAGTACGGAGCGAGGCCGCGCTCGAGGAGGGCGAAGAGAGTGCCGATGCGGGCGACTTTGAGCTCGGGCGTGAGTTCATCGTGTTCCCACAGCTCCATGAGTCGACGGTTGTTCGGGATCTGCGGCGGGAAAGCCACCGCCATGTACGCCAGTAGAGGATGGCTGGCATCCCGCGGGCCGTCACGCCATGCCGGCGACGAGACGGTCTCGAGCGAGAGCTCAGCGTCGGCAAAAACCGGAAAGACCTTGCAAGTCGGATCAGCGAGGGCTGCGTCGGCCTCTGCGATGGCCCACCGTGTGACGATCGAGTACTTTGAGACAACGACGACCACAACGTGTGAGTCACGGGCAAGCCGGGCGCAGTCTGCGGGATCTTGGACAATCATGGCGTCGAGCGACTTGACGTCGAGAAAGACGCGCAGACCGAGGGCAACGAGCTTGTCGCGGAGCGAGAGCATGAGCCCCTTGTCGTTGGAGCCGTGGCAGAGGAAGACATCGTATGACTTGGTGGAGGACGGCCCGGCTGGTGACGATGACGTCGCTTCGATATGCATGTTCTGGGGGACTGCGGAGGAAGGGGTGGCCGAGCTGGCCGAGCTGGCGTTGGCGGTGAGCAGCGGGCGGGGGCGCTTGGCAGAACCCTGCTGCACTGGTGCGTGTGCAGGGAGCGGGGGGTCCCCTGTGCTGCACGGGTGTGTGTGCAGGGCGCAGGGGGTCCCCTGTGCCCCCTGGAGCGGGGTCCATGGGCACAGTGAGAGGGGTGTGCGGAGTGTGCGGTGAGTGTGACGGCGAGGGCGACAGGTGGTGTTTGGGCGATTTTTTGGATATCGGGCGAGTGTTAATTGATGGGGCTGGGCATGATTAATTGAACGAGAAATGATTGATGTGGTGATGGTGGGGCCAGGGTGGGTGGGTGCATGCATGCAAGGAGGGTGTGTAGTTGGGCAAAAAGAAGAAAGAATGCGTTACTCGGTATTCCCGTGTGGTCCCCCACCACAGTACTAACCAAGCCTCATGCTGCTTGACTTCCGAGAGCGAGACGGGATCGGGTATTTTCAGCATAGGATGAACGCATTCGATGAATGAGAGTGTGCGTGGTAGTCATGTGGTGGAGGGCGAGGGCGCAGAGCGGTCGCAGAATGGGTTCCGACCAGGAGATGGCGATCGGGTGATTGAGGCAAGACGTGGCTGCTTCCGTCGGGTTGCGACTGTGAGTGGGCTCTGATCTGTGAGTGGGATAGAGGTGCTTGCATTGCTGAGTCTCACCTTGTTCGGTTCCTTCTGTGCGATGTGGCGAGAACCACAGCTCGCCTACGTTCAAGGCCGCCTTACATACATGCACAGCTGCGCTGACAACCATCATGGACTTTGAATATCAAGGTCACGTCGGCTTTGTTGACTCGATCGAGGATGCGCTCGAGACGCTTCCGGAGAGCCCGGCCGTTACCTTCTCCAACAACGTCTACGGCGTTTGGCGCGGTAGCAATCAGACGGCCGACGTCGTTG